AAAATATTGACACTTTAGGCACAATTTGGACATGTTCACTGTGGGGTGTACTCACTTATATTGCCAGCTGTTCAGATGTTGATGGCTGTGTTTTGAGTAATTTTCAGAGGAAGGTAAATCTATACTACTATACAAGCTGTACACTGACTACTTTAAGTTATATCAAAGTGTCATTTCTATAGTGTTGTCCCATGACAAGATATAATAAAATATTTGCAAAAATGGGAGGGGTGTACTCACTTATGTGAGATACTGTTTGGAAGGAGGGTAAAATTATTCCTATTCCCAAGGATGCTAAATTTACTTTCAGTGGTCCCAGCACCAGGCCTATTAGCATTCTACCTGTTCTTAGTAAATTATTAGAAAAAATTCTGTTTGATCAAGTCCAAACCTACTTTTTAGTGAACAGTCTAATAACTGAACACCAACATGCATACAGGACTGATTATTTGACCTGCACGGCCTTGACACAGATGTCAGATAGTTGGCTCTCTGCGATCAACAGTTCAATGCTGATTGGTGCAGTTATGTTGGATTTTAGTGCTGCTTTTGATGTGATCGACCATGATATTTTAATACAAAAATGAATTTACTATGGTTTTAATAGCTCGTCTCTTCTCTTTTTTAGGAGTTATCTGACCTCTAGGTCCCAGAGGGTTTATTTTAATGGAGCTTTTTCTAGGAGCAGAGAGTTAGACTGTGGTATTCCACAGGGGAGTTGTCTGGGGCCACTATTGTTCTCTATATTCACAAATGATATGCCTACCACTATTCGACAGGCAAATTTAACCCTATTCGCTGATGATTCAACCCTGTATTATGCGGCTAATACTGTCTCTGAACTCACTCAAGTTTTGACCAGTGAACTGAAGATCTTATAGAATTGGATTAAATCAAACAAGCTGGTCCTTAACATATCTAAATCTGCCTGTATGGTTTTCGGGTCCTGTCAAAGATTAGCTAGTAACCCTTCATTGACATTACACATAGCCGGTCAACAAATACAGCAAGTTGAAAAAGCTGAGCTTCTAGGCCTCTGGCTGTATAGGTCTTTATCATGGTCTGATCACATCAGGAATACTGTCTCCAAAATGGGTAGAGCTGTTGCTACCGTGAGAAAGTGTGCACCCTTCCTTCCATCCTCTCTGCGGAGCCAAATTGCATGTGCTTTAATCTTGTGCCACTTGGACTATTGCTCTGTGGTATGGGCTTCTGCCTCGAAGCATCTTCTTAATATGTTACAAGTGGCACAAAACGAGGCTGCTAGACTAGTCATGGGCTGCTCTTACAGGTCTAATACACGTGAAATGCATGTACGTCTCAATTGGCTAAATGTTGAGAAAAGGCTATCTGCCAACCTACTTTTATTCTTCCCGAAGGTTATTTTAACCCATAATCCTAAATTTATTTATAATAAAATAATTTATAGATCGAACATGCACATGCATTACACCAGAGGGGCAAGTAGAGGCTTGATTAGTCTACCCCTGGCAAAATCAATAAGTATGAGAAGAACGGTTCTTTATAGGGCCAACCGCACACAGAACTGTCTTCCAAGAGACATTACAGAAACTCAAGGTATAGTTAGCTTCAAAAAGAAGTTGAGATGTCACTTATTAGAGAGCTAATGATGACAATGTTGAGCCATGCATTATTTTAAATTATTTGTATGCTTTGTTATTGTGTAAATGTGTTTTGTGTGATCTGTTAAATTGTTTTTAAATTTTTATGATGTTGTAAAGTTTTTGGACCCCAGGAAGACTAGCTGGCGTCTTGCCGTCAGCTAATGGGGATCCTTTTTAATAAACAAAGAAATGCAAATTTCGAATGCTGTCACTGAAGTCATGACCCTTCCTTCTGTTGTTGGTTTCTTGTTTACATCTCCCGAAGCCCCCAAATGATGGGAACTTTAGTTCCAAAGCTTAGAGCTGGAATTCCCCATATAGAAATAAGACAAAGAATAATAATAGGAGTTACAAAATCTCTGTTGTACCCATGGACGTCGGAACTATTTTCTGAGAGGGGGCGGGATTTTTGTTGGGAGGGGCGGGGGAAGCACGCACACTTATCAGTGATTAAGGATTTGATTTGAAGTTATTTTATAATAACATGCAGTTATAAGAGAACTAGAATGGATGAACACGGCATCTTTATTGTTAAGGAAATTAAACTTTGATAACTAAATCAAGCCATTTAAGGAACGTAACATTATTTGTAACCTTGAATGAAAAACAGAAAAGTCTGCGCTCCTGACTCAGGGCTTTCATGCATTTCCAAAAGTGGACCTTCTCTCAGCTGACCTACTGATGAAGATTTTAAGCAGGGTCGAGACATCGCTATCATCCATAAGGTCACTGTGAACGTTCATAATGGCCAAATGTGTTAGTCTCTCCTGAGTCATGGTGTTGCGCAGCCAGGTTTTCAGCCTGCGCAAGGCTGAGAAAGAGCGCTCGGATGCCACGACAGATATGGGCAGGGCCAGACAGAGCTTAATGAGCTTCTCCACCTGCATGGTTTGCAGGATGGACACAACATCCTGGATGCCAAGGCTACTGTATGTAGTCAGGCAGGATGCATATCACATCAAAAGCATAGATCTAAGCATTAATGATATAAAAGAGATAAATGTAAGTCAGACAAATTGAGTTTAAATTCAGATTCTTTATTTTTTTTAAAACGTAATGCAGTGAGTAGGGAGGCTGGGGTGCGGGGGTGCGGATGGGAGGGGGTTCGGCCGCACCCCCCACACCCCTAGTTCCGACGTCTATGGTTGTACCATCAATATACTTTTATGAAAATTACATAATGCCCCTTTTGACTCGGCTTATATTCCTGGATGAGGTGTTGGGTGTAACCTGTTATGTTACTATAATCACATTACTTTTGTCACTAACACAGTAAAGTAACATATTACTGTTCCAAATTCAGTAATCACATTACACATTCTAATCAAAGAATTATGTTGTTACTTGCGTTATATACATTCTTCTGTTATTTGTAAAATGGGAAGACAGAAAAACATAAACGGACATGCTGACAACATTGACAGCGCCTATTGATATATTATTTTAAGGCAATTAATATTTGTACTCTGCAGTGTTAGGGAGGCCAGCCTCATGCAGGCTATACTGATATAGTGTCCTTTTGAGGCAGTTATAGTCTACTGCAGTGCCTTCTTGATTCTCCTGATTCTTGTTGTGTTCTGATATGTGGGCATGTGGAACGTTGAGCATAATTGAATTGCTAACTGGCACTGTCGTAACAATTCGTCTCAGGGGATGTTGCAGAGTAAGGCAATGTGATGAATATAACAAATTACTTTCCACAGGGAGTGATTAAGTAAAGTAGTGCATTAGTCTTTTTAAAAGTAACGAGTAATGTGTAATTATGACATTATGACCCTAACACTGCCTGGACCACTGACACCCCCTACCTATTCATGTACAGTTGAACATAAACAAAAACACACAATGTTTTAATTGCGGGGGGATGTTAGTGTGAATTTTATCTGTCTCACTTTAACTAGTGAGACAGTTAAAATTCTTTTGCAAGGAAAACCTTGTGGCAAACTTAATACCTAAACATATATTTAACCTTACCCGTTGTTCTAAAAACTGCCTGTGATGTCTACATTATGCCAGGTGATGCCTGCTGCATCAGGATGAGATTTTTCTCTGATTGTTAACTAACTTTAGTTTCCATACTGTTTTTTAGGCTCATGATGAGATCTGTCCAAAGTACCCGATGATTTGTGAAGGTTGTGCAAAGAAAAAGATTCCTAGAGAGAAGGTATCCCACATATTTATACTTCAAGTGATTTCTCATAATCATGTTGGATTGATCTCATTTACCATTTAGCTATTGATCAAATTCTATAATGTGTTCTATAGATCATTAGCTTCTTTCATTTTTTTTGTTTTGCAGTATGTGGACCATATTAAGTTCTGCAGTAAATTTAAAGCACCATGCAGATTTCATGTTGTTGGCTGCAATACATCTGTAAGTAGACTTTTTGTCATAATATGCTATATGTGTAACAATGGCTAATGTAACAAGTACAGGATCTTGGCAAGATTCAACAAAATCTCCCAATTAATGGTCATATGAAGTGGAATGCTTAGACCAATGATTTGACAAAAAAAGGTACAAATAACATGCACATTCAACCGAATACAGAATTTATTGCCACATGCCTGTAAATGAATCCTGTGTTGTTGAGTATGAAACCTGTGTGTGTGTGTGTGTGTGTGTGTGTGTGTGTGTGTGTGTGCGTGCATAATGCCATAGAAGGTATTTCCCTAACAACTCCATGTTAAGTTCAAATATAAAACAAAATGTGATTGCCATGTCATGTCAATATTTAGTAGAAGCACCTTTAGCAGCAACAATGGCCTGAAAGACTTAACCAGACTGAAAGGCACAAAAATTAATAGGGACTCAAATATGACAAAAACCAGCATACATTTTCTGCGAGAGACAAAAACTAAATCAAAATCAGGTGCCAAAATGAACACTGACTAGAGGGCATGTGAAAGACTCTGAAACATACACTAGCCCAAACGTAATTATAGTTTGTTTCAACAGCCATAAAGCTGCAACTGGAACTGGTCTAATAAAGCACCAGTATACTCCGATGGAAATAGTTGTTGGATGGTCAAACAGCCTGAACCCCAAATTGCTCCCGATGGCTGTTCCATTGGTGTGTGAGAGTGTGTGAATGGTTACTGAGTAGCAGGTGGCACCATGTATGGTTGCTTCTGCCACCAGTGTGTGGATGAGTGTGTGAAAGGCTGAACGTGACATGTAGTGTAAAAGCATAAAAGTGTTTGGAAGAATAGAAAAGCGCTAGTCCATTTACCATTTCAGAAGGTCATTCACTTCTTGAGCCAGATTTACAGCTGTGCCTCATTTTTTATGATTGACCTCTCTGTACTCTGAAGGATATTCTTTCCCTTAAATTGTCCTTTTCATTATCATTATTTTGAATTAATTTGGAGTGGGTTTTTTTTCTTCATCTTATGGTTTTTGACAGGATTTCACTACTCAGGTTTATTTCAAATCATTACATGTAGCTAGTTTCCATTCAATTTAAAACTTAATATGCAGTTTTTTTATGCATTTGGATATTTTTTTTCTCCTTTTTTCTATATTAAGCATGGCAGCTGTGGGGATGAATAATTTGTGTGGCACATATATGTAAATTATTAGCTCCATTATTTATTTGCTGAATGTGTTTACTTTTTGCTTCTCCTGTGGCACAATTTCACATAACATCATGCAAACATCATGTAATTTTTTTTGTATGGAATGGACGAGGGCTGTTGTTTGTGTTCTTTATGTGTTTCCGCTTGTGTCTTTCTTTGAGTGGAGGTGGAGAAAGAGAGGATCCATGACCATGAGCGACAGTGTTCTTATGAACACCTCAACTTGCTCCTGCATTTCATCATGGGCATCAAGGTGAGCCTGGAGAGCCTTCAGCCCCAGAGCCTGGAAGCAGCCAGCCATAAGCTGCAAGAACTCCACCAGTCCCTCAGGGACCTGGAGGTGAAGATGAGCCAGTTGGGTGGGGGTGGTGCGGTTTCCATGCAGGGTGCATGTGCCCCGACTCTGACCACCTCCTTCACCCCACTGCCCAGCACCATGGGTGCTGCCCTGGAGCTGCAGCTCCAGAGTGAAAAAACAAAGGTGGCTGAGCTGAGCCAACGCTGCCAGGAGCTGGAGCTCAAAGTGAGCACATTTGAGAATATTGTCTGCGTTCTCAACAGAGAGATGGAGCGCTCCTGCACCACCATGGAGGCTTATAACCGCCAACACAGACTGGACCAGGACAAGATTGAGATCCTCAACAACAAGGTGACTAAATGACATATAACCTTTGCTGTCCAGCTGTGATGTCCACCAGATCAAGTTTGAATCTCAATGATCCCAAAGGCAATTTAGATTGTCAAGGTATCAGGAATGAAAAGAGAATTTGAAAGGGTCACCTCACCCACAAATAAAAATGATCTTCATTTGCAGATGCCTACATCAGAATGAAGTTAGTGACACTTTCCTTGTTTTGCCACCTCGCTTTTCTCCAAAAGAGCATAATATGAAACCTCTGAAAATGTCTTGAGCAATGTAATGCAAATATTAATGGTGAAGGGTGGCACTATAATTCTATCCAGGCTGATATTAACCCTACAGTTAGCTTCATAGAATCTTTACTTAAAGATTGAACAGTTGTTTGCTCATCTCATTTGTCACATTACACTACAGCACTCTACTTTGCAGGGAGCATCAGTTTTGGTCTCACTGAAGACTCAAAGAAAGCTTGTTAAAGGTATACTATGCAGGAATTTGCAGCTACTGTTTGTGAACAGTATCAACAGTGTGAAAGTTGAAGTTAAAGGCAACCCCACCTTTGCCTGCTTCGCTACGCTATATTTGCATTGTTTTTTTCTGTGCTGTATTGTAGCTTACTCTTAGATGCATGCTGCTTACGGTCTGTCACGTTTTCACTAGTTGTTCAAGTTCAAGTTTTAGTGGTTTCCCCAAGACCCATGTTATAAAAGGCATCAGGCCTTCAAAAAATAATTTTAAGTAAATAAAAATGGTATTAAATTAAAAGGGGGTTACTAGCCTATCCATTACTGTTATATCCCATATAGTCAGGTTCTAACAGTAATGGCCTATCCATTACTGTTAGAACCTGACTATATGGGATATATGGTATGTGAAATTGAGTGATTCCCTTGATTTTTTGCGGAAAGTGGAATTTCCCCACACACGCTATTTTTACTTCACTAAATAATACGCAATAAACGCCAATGTTTAAGTCCAGCCCTTATTACCATGACACTGTTCTTTATTGAATGTAAATCAGGGAGAGAGAGGAGAAAATGATCAGTGTACCGCTTTTTGCACTTTAGGCAGTTTAACCTAAAGCATTAGATTTAGTGCATCATATCGAGGTTCTATCCCAGCTGATGAAACTCCTTCTTCATGAGCTCTGCCTCCAACAGCCTTGCGGTGATGCCCAGATGCTTCAGTTGTTCTGTGGCTTCCCATGCCAGAATTTGATCCTGCACTTCTTCAGCTGATGTTTGATTTCTTCATACTCCTTGTGTCTCCACTGCAGGGCGGTAGAGTAGTCATGGTCTAGTGTAGTAGTAGTAGTAGTAGTAGTCTCATTGTGTCATACGGATTACTGTTAATGTATTATGTTGATCTGTTCTGTACGACATCTATTGCACATCTGTCCATCCTGGAAGAGGGATCCCTCCTCAGTTGCTCTTCCTGAGGTTTTTACTGTTTTTTTCCCCCTGTTAAAGGGTTTTTTTGGGGGAGTTTTTCCTTATCTGCTGCGAGGGTCCTAAGGACAAAGGGATGTCGTATGTTGTAAAGCCCTGTGAGGCAAATTGTGATTTGTGATAGTGGGCTTTATAAATAAAATTGATTGATTGATTGATTGATTGATAGTGCGATACAGTTTCCTTCAAATTGCAAGTCTGTGTGTACAACCTTGATACTGGGTCCGTTGCTTTGTTGGAATGTGATAATTAAAAATATTATATTTAGGCTTGTGGGTTTTGATGCAAGCAACCTGTGAGCACGCTTGATATTGAGGTCATCTTCTTTGCTTAGCTTTAGAGCCGCTCTAATAGTTTTGAAGTGAATTCTGGCATATTTTCACCACTCTCAGTCACTTCCTTCACTCCATAGAGCCACAAATGTATGGAGCTAGAACAGTCTCAAAATGAATAAATGCACACAGAAATTAATAAATTCACAAATGTATTTGTATATNACTTCTACTGTTATTATACACATATGATTATTGTCACATATGTATGCTATCAGATATTAATATATACTTTCAACATATTGTACCACAGTAGCCAGAACTATAATTATAATATTATTACTTTCATTAATGTTGTTGTAAGCTACTGTCATGACCGTCTGTCCTGCATCTCTCTCAATCTCTGTCTCTGTCTCTCTTTGTCTCTCTTTCTGTCTCATTGTGTCATACAGATTACTGTTAATTTATTATGCTGATCTGTTCTGTACAACATCTATTGCACGTCTGTCCGTCCTGGAAGAGGGATCCCTCCTCAGTTGCTCTTCCTGAGGTTTCTACTATTTTTTTCCCCCGTTAAAGGGTTTTTTTTGGGGAGTTTTTCCTTATCCGCTGTGAGGGTCCTAAGGACAGAGGGATGTAGTATGCTGTAAAGCCCTGTGAGGCAAATTGTGATTTGTGACATTGGGCTTTATAAATAAGATTGAATCGAAATTGAATACTGCTGTGTTTGGTACGTTCCTGGGCACAGAGCACAAGTGAGGTCGGGACTTTATAAGCGAAAGGCTTCCAATTCCATCTCCTAACCTGATGCAGCTTAACAGCCAAGCTGCTACCTCCCTGGACCCACATTTAACTAATAATTTATAGTGGTTTGTGAAAAGAAAATAGATGTAGGTGTATTCTGTTTGTCCTGATACAGTCATTAATATGAACCAGAGAAGGCGCAACAAAAATAAAGGGGTGAGCAATTCTACAACCACCCTGAATGCTAGCTCAACCACAGCTCATAAGGCAGATGCTGCTGCTGAGCAAAGCAGGGTGAGCAGGAAGAGTGGGTTGTCCTCTAGTCGGAAGGTCAGTGGTTCAATCCCCTGTTCCTCCACTTCACATGTCCAAGTATCCTTGGGCTAGATACTGAACCCCAAATTGCTCCCGATGGCTGTTTCTTTGGTGTGTGATTGTGTAAAACTGGTTACTGAGCAGCAGGTGGCACCTTGTAAGGTAGCTTTGGCCACCAGTGTGTGAATATGTGTGTGAATAGATGAATGTGACATGTAGTGTAAAAGTGCTATGAGTGCTCAGAAGACTAGAAAAGCACCATGCAAGTGCAGTCCATTTACCATTTACCAAAGAGTGAGCAACATGGAGGATCACAGTGCATGTGTGGACGGACTGCTAGCTTACATGATAGATGATAAACAATGGCATTTAGGAGCACACTGTGAGGACAATGAAAATCATTCAATAAGGTCCAATCTGTATGGAGCTAGAACAGTCTCAAAATGAATAAATGCACACAGAAATTAATAAATGCACAAAAAGGATTCACAAATGTATTTGGGGATTATATATATAGTCTATATGACTCAAAACACAAACACATTTTCAATGCACACAAAAATAAGTTTCATTCCATGTATAAGTAAAAGAAAATCCACATATAAAAATAAGATTTATAAACATATTTGTGATGCACACACAAATATTTCTTGTTTTAAATATGTGCAATTGAAATTCACAAATGTACACATGTAAGTATTTGCAATTTTCATCAAATACATATTTGGAGGTTGTTACATTGATATATGAACTGTTGAACCTGCATTTACAAAGTGCTTTTAATTTGTAAACTTCCCTGCATTTGTGTGTGTGAGTTTTGAGACTCCGCTGACGTGATTCAAATGCATTTTTTCTAAGAGGGGATTGTCTGCAGCCAATCAGATGTCTAACTCCTTTACAGCCAATCACATGAGTGCCTCCCCACGAGGGGTGTTATATGACGTCATTAAAGCGCGCGACTCCAGGTGGGAGTAAGGTGAAGCTGCAGTACCGGAGGCTGCAGCAACGTCTTATAATTTCAAAAATAGGAGAAATGAATTAGTAATAGTAATTAGATTATAGTTAAAAGCCCAGGTTACATTAACATTGCCAGTCCTCTCCGCTCCTCTCACCCACACTTGAGCATCCATCCGGGGATACACAGTGTCGGGACGCTCCGCTGTCCTGCTAGAGTTTGTTCTGTGTTGTTATTTTTTTATTTTTTATATTTGTCTTAGCTCTTTAGAAACTACTGTTCTATCTTTTGCGTGACGGACGCTTCATATAATACCATAACAATATACTACTTATTGTGTTATGTGATCGTGTCATTTCTGTCTCTACATGGTGACGTGTTAACAATTCTCCTCTACTCTCTGTATCGCACACGGCGGAGTTCCACCACACACACAGGTGAGCACGACCTGAGCCCGGCGCAGTTTGTTACGTGACATAGCTATTGTTGTTGTCACATGAGTGCCTCCCCATGAGGGGTGTTATAGGACGCCATCAAAGCACGCAACTCCAGGTGGGAGTAAGGTGAAGCTGCAGTACCGGAGGCTGTAGTTTCAGGACAGTTTAATTTTCCGAGCGGAGGCTGCAATTATCTGAAGTTTATTTTTATTGTTTTGCTGTACCCAAATACTACTTTCTTATTAAATAGTTAGCCTACATTTGTGCACAGTAATGAGCAGGTGAAATGTCTGTCTAGCTTACATTTGAGGTGTCTCAAGAGTTAGGAAAATACAATTTTTTTGAACATAATAAAAGTTAAAAGTCACTTGACATGCTGCTGTTTTGTGCTATGACCTATTTAAGTGCTGGAAGTTGTTATTTACGTAACAACACCTGAACGCAACACAGGCTCCTCTCCAACTGAGTGTGCATACAGTGCCACTGCGCTGCTGTGCAAGCAGTGTGTTTGTCTCTGCGTCACAGCAGTCTTTTGATGGTTATTTACACACTGTCCAAAACAATAACTATGTCACGTAACAAACTGCGCCGGGCTCAGGTTGAGTTTGGTCAGGAAAATGCGTGCTCACATATGTGTGTGGCGGAACTCCGCCGTGCGCGATACAGAGAGTAGAGGAGAATTGTTATCGCGTGACCATGTAGAGACAGAAATGACACGATGACATAACACGATAAGTAGTTTATTGTTATGGTATTATATGAAGTGTCCGTCGCGCAAAAGATATAATGGTAGTTTCTAAAGAGCTAAGACAAAAAAAATAAAAAATAAAAAAATAAC